TTTTTTTTTTTTTTTTTTTGAGAAAAGTTGAAGCAGCAAGTCAGAGAGACCCAAGTCTGAATTCTGTATTTGCTATTTAGTGATCATTTGACCCTGGAAGATGACACAGACTCTTTAAGCTTCATTGTTTTCTTTTGTAAAATGAGGGCAGTATTCCTCATGTGGCTCTCAGGAGACTGTGTTACAGTATAAGTAAAGTATATGGACAGTTCCTGTCACTATGACATCAGGGTTTGACTCTTGCATAGCATTTGGTCAAGTTTAGTATTTTCAGACCCCCAAATAACCAATTTAAATTTAATTGTACTTTTATATGTATTTTTGCATAATATATGATGCAAAAGAAACCAGGCAGTATAGTTTCAAGTACAATTTAAAATATTTACCATGTTAATGATATTGAGTAGGAAAATATAATGAATTATTAAAAGTAGAGCTCAGATCTGTCCTTTGTTATTGGAACTTAAATTGTCCTTAGGGAATCATGTTTCCATGGAAGATCCTTGCTAAGCAATAGACTGAAATTTTAATAATCTCTCTCTCTTTTCTTTTGAAAAGATCATGTATCTAGGCTCAGGCTTATGCTGTGTTGGTGCCCTAGCTGGCCTTTCTACCCAGGGAACAGCTCGTCTTGGCAATGCATTGGGCATGATTGGGGTTGCTGGAGGCTTGGCAGCCACACTTGGAGGCCTAAAACCATGCCCAGAATTGTTAGCTCAGATGTCTGGAGCAATGGCTATGGGCGGCACCATTGGTAAGCAGTCTTGGGCTTCTGCCTTCATGTGAACTTATCAATCACCTGAAGGTAGTTAGGCTCACATGCATTTCTTAATGGTGGGATATATTTTCAGGGATATGTCCTCAGGCAATTTCATCCTTGTGCAAACATCACAAAGTGTACTTCCACAAATCTAAATGGCATAGCCTCCTACACACCTATGCTGTTGCTCCTAGGCTAGACCTATATAGCATGATATTGTATTGAATATTATAAGCAGTTCTAAAACCATGATATTAATATTTGTAAATGTAGATGAGGGACACTAAAAATACTAAGCAATAAAAATTTTTCATCTCCATCATAGCTCAGGATCACCATCATTCCTTTACTGACTGAAGTATTATTATGTGGCACATGGCAGTACTTTTTTTTTTTTTTTAAAGATTAGAGTTTATCCAATTCCTTTAAAAGATCAGTTGACCACTAATGCTTTACACTGTGCCTCTAGGAAAACCTTAGGTTTTTGTTCTATGACTTGATTAGGAGACTGTGTTACAGTATAAGTAAAGTATATGGACAGTTCCTGTCACTATGACATCAGGGTTTGACTCTTGCATAGCATTTGGTCAAGTTTAGTATTTTCAGACCCCCAAATAACCAATTTAAATTTAATTGTACTTTTATATGTATTTTTGCATAATATATGATGCAAAAGAAACCAGGCAGTATAGTTTCAAGTACAATTTAAAATATTTACCATGTTAATGATATTGAGTAGGAAAATATAATGAATTATTAAAAGTAGAGCTCAGATCTGTCCTTTGTTATTGGAACTTAAATTGTCCTTAGGGAATCATGTTTCCATGGAAGATCCTTGCTAAGCAATAGACTGAAATTTTAATAATCTCTCTCTCTTTTCTTTTGAAAAGATCATGTATCTAGGCTCAGGCTTATGCTGTGTTGGTGCCCTAGCTGGCCTTTCTACCCAGGGAACAGCTCGTCTTGGCAATGCATTGGGCATGATTGGGGTTGCTGGAGGCTTGGCAGCCACACTTGGAGGCCTAAAACCATGCCCAGAATTGTTAGCTCAGATGTCTGGAGCAATGGCTATGGGCGGCACCATTGGTAAGCAGTCTTGGGCTTCTGCCTTCATGTGAACTTATCAATCACCTGAAGGTAGTTAGGCTCACATGCATTTCTTAATGGTGGGATATATTTTCAGGGATATGTCCTCAGGCAATTTCATCCTTGTGCAAACATCACAAAGTGTACTTCCACAAATCTAAATGGCATAGCCTCCTACACACCTATGCTGTTGCTCCTAGGCTAGACCTATATAGCATGATATTGTATTGAATATTATAAGCAGTTCTAAAACCATGATATTAATATTTGTAAATGTAGATGAGGGACACTAAAAATACTAAGCAATAAAAATTTTTCATCTCCATCATAGCTCAGGATCACCATCATTCCTTTACTGACTGAAGTATTATTATGTGGCACATGGCAGTACTTTTTTTTTTTTTTTAAAGATTAGAGTTTATCCAATTCCTTTAAAAGATCAGTTGACCACTAATGCTTTACACTGTGCCTCTAGGAAAACCTTAGGTTTTTGTTCTATGACTTGATTTTCTTTTTCTTTTTATTGAGTTTATTGGTACAATCTAGGTGTACAATACAGTTACATTCATTATTGGGATCCTGTACCTTTGCATGACACGTCTTGATTCTCATTTTATGGCAGTACTTTTTTTAGAGACCTTTTATTAGCAATTTAGTTTCTGAATGTATATTTTTATTTGAGGACCATATTTCCAAAGGAATTAAATAAATAATCTTAATGGAAGTTATCATGTTACCATAGTTGGCATAATTTTCATTCAACTACTGACATTTTTTGAGATATTGAATGTGCTAGCTAAGTCAAAAAAGAGGTTAAAAAAAAAAACCCTGTACTCTGTTCTTATTTTCCTTTACTTTGTCCAGGTAGCTGATAAAAGAATGGGGGATTAGAGACTCAGCTTTTGTTTTACTGGTTGTAAATAACAGAAGATTCTTCTTCATAGCCCTGTTAAAAACTTGAAGAAAACAAGAGCAAGCAGAAAACCCACTGTTTGAATCTTTTTCAGTGGTGTGCTGGGCCCATTGTGAAATATTTTGTGAGCTATTTATAAACACTACTATTATTAAAAAATTATATAAACTTGGACAAGGGATTTAGCTCAGTGTGGCACCACACCTGCCTCACAAGCACAAGGTCCTGAGTTTGATCCCCTATACCCCCCAAAAATTATATAAATTTAAATAAATTACATTGGTAACAATATTAAAAACATATACATTTCCAGTTAATTTACTAGACTTTATTATCTATGTTTTTGAAGTTATTTATATCTGTTATGTTACATAGTAGAATATAAATTTCTTCTTAATTTCACATTCAGTGATATCATATTAGTTGGGCATGGTAGCTTATGTCAGTAATCCCAGCACTCAAGAAGCTGAGGCAGGAGGATCACTATGAGTTCAAAGTCAGCATGGGGTACAGAGTGAATTGAAGACCAGCCTTAAGCATATAGCAAAACCCTGTCTTGGAAAAAAAAAAAGATGTCACATTGTTGAATTGTTGTTGGTTAAAATATTTACACCATGGAAATAAATGCATGCTACAAATCTAGGATTGATTTACTATTTGTTGTCTGGACCTGATATTTTAGCTTAAATTTGAAATATGTTGTGCATTGTAAATAGTAAAAAAGTTAACAAGTATTAAAAACTGTTACTAGTAACAGTATTTAAAAACTGTTACTAGAGTCAGAAGTCACTCACACTGTTGGTAAATAAGTTCTTGTATACATCTCATACATCGCCATGACCATACAATGTTTTACTTTCATCATACTTGTTAATGTAAACATAGATATTAAATAATGCTTATATAAGATGCATGTTCATTTATCAGTTGCAAACACTAGGTTGGCTACAGGCACAAGAGTTTAGTAAAAACCATCAAAAACATTCTATGATAGTCAATTATTATACAGAACTTGAGATAAAGAGTATTGTATATTTTGTTATTTGGAAGTTGTGTGGCATAAGCCAGTATTCTGAGCTCCACTCCTATTTCTCTACCCACAGCTATGAAACTGTTTCAGAGTCTTCTAATTTGGACATTCATTGCCCAGAAATTTGTATTTCTTTACATTTTGACTTGGCTTGACCTACTCACAGGAAAACCTGTTTTATGTTAAAATCCAGTTGATTCTTATGGGCTCAGGAGCCAGAATTGGCTATAGAGCCAGAGCATCTGGAATATTCCTTCAGTGGGGAGAATTTAAGGAGATCTAAATGAAGCCCTAAGTAGTCCAAAGAAGCATTTGGTTAGGAGAGTAGAGTTTGTGAGAGAAAGAGACATGCATTGATGCAGTTTATTTATTTGGAGCTGGGCATTGGTTGGCTGTGTTGAGAAAATCTGCCACTCGAAGGGGGCATACATATATAACCAGTGTCTTTACCTTGTCTGCAACCCTTTAGAGAATACATGTCCATACTAAGAACTGGATAATAGTTACTAGTGACAGTGACAGAAATTTTTTTGTGTAATCTTTGCCCTGGTTACCTCTGAAAGATCTGTCAGACTTTAATGTATCTTTGGCCTTCATTTTCCAACAGGCTTGACAATTGCTAAACGCATCCAGATATCTGATTTACCTCAGTTAGTTGCTGCTTTCCATAGTTTGGTGGGTTTGGCAGCTGTACTGACTTGCATAGCTGAGTACATCATAGAATATCCACATTTTGCTATGGATGCAACTGCAAATCTCACCAAGATTGTGGCTTACCTTGGCACTTACATTGGTGGTGTCACTTTTAGTGGGTCTCTTGTTGCCTATGGAAAATTACAAGGTAAGTGATTCAACATAATGAAGAGGGAAATAGCTGTTGTTTAAGATATTGATGGGTTGATTTTAGTTTCAGAAAATACCTTCTTAACAGAAACTGTTAAATGAAGAGTATTTACATAACACTCAGAAATACAGCAAAGATTTTCTTCATAAAGGGGGTGCCCTTTTACTAATATTGCAAGGATCAAATCTTTGAAGCTGTTTTTTTTTTTAGCACACAGCTACTGAAGGAAATTAAAGCCCAGAGTTTTGTGTAGAGACAAGACAATTGATAATACATATAAACAAAATAACACATTCATGATCTTTGGTTAGAAATGTCTGTAGAGTTCATAGAAATAAACTTTATGCATTCGCCAGAATATTGAGAAGCTTTTTAAGGTTGTGTGATGGGTAAGCAAGCAGTACTCATTCTGAAAACAAATGACATTTTAGGCCACTAGCAGAGAAACTTTTGTTATTGCTACAGTGAATTACGAAAATGGAAGCAGAGGAAAAAAATCCAGAGAGGTTCAGTGTTTTCAGAAACAAATGGGTCCCTGGAGAAACTAGTTTGTGATTTAAAAATCTGGTTTTGCCTTTTCAGTAATAAAGTCATTAAATGTGGAACTCCAACAAAACTTTAAAAATCATGAAAGAACTTCAAGCTTAAGACATTCAGGCTTAGGCTTTGTCTTCAAAAACAGCTAACACACCAGAGTTCTCCCATGGGCTTGGTTGATAGGATCAGAATGTTACTGTACTAGGACTCTGTATTGAAGTTTTCAATAAATAAAACCATACTTAACAACTTCTGTGTTGGTCATACTACATTAAAAAAAAAAAAAGAAATTGTAAGATTCCAAGACAAAGAGTAAAGATGTATGATTAAAGTAAGGAAAAGAACAGTTAAGTTTTAAGTTGAATCATACTTTTCTTGTCTCTATTAATGTTTGTTACATGTAATAACTCTAATTTGCTTTTATGTTTCATATCTGGTGCTATAAAGTGATATTTTGAATACTATATTATTGTAATATTAAATTTTGATAGTTTTTTTTTCTTTGGTACCAGGGATTGAACTCGGGTCCTTGCACTTGCAAGGCAGGCCACTGAACCACTGAGCTAAATCTCCGGCCCTAAATTTTGATAGTTAAATGACATATGTGTACGTGTGTGGGTTTTCTTATACTGTGGATTCTGAATATCGTGTGTTTGATTTAGGTATCTTGAATTCTGCCCCTCTCCTGCTACCTGGAAGACATGCACTCAATGCAGGCTTGTTGGCTGCTAGTGTGGGTGGAATTATCCCATTCATGGTTGACCCCAGTTTTACTACTGGCATCACTTGTCTGGGCTCCGTGTCAGCCCTCTCTGCTGTCATGGTAAGAAGCCAGAGATGGAAAAGCACATAATACTTGGTGAATGACTGGGAGTATCTTGTTAGATTATAGTCTTATCATACTTCTGTCTTATCCAGATCACTAGTAGAATAAAAATGTTTTAAAGTTTTCTTACACATATACATCTTTTTAGAATGTAGAAAAAAGAGAAAGTATAACAAGAAAATCACTCTCTCAATTGCTAATTTAAAAGTTGGCACATGTGACATCTTTATTTTTCTGGAGTCTCTGCTGGGTCAAAGTATTTGTACATAGGAGTTTAAAAATATCAAGAAAGCCAACTCCATTCATTTAAGTGTCTATTGTGTGACAAGTCCTACAGAGTATGTGTAAGCTAGTCTCTGTCAATTAGTTGCTCTCACATTCATGGAAAATATAGCATCAGATAAAATAATTATATAAAATGAAATGCAAATAATAAGCTCTGTGTATTCAGTGAGAGCATTCAGCCTTTCATTTGTAGATTTGTCTTCCTCTTCCTCTCTAACTTTTGCATTTAGTGTGTTAATATATATATAATATATAGAGAATATTTTTGTTTATATGTTACTGTTTTGCATTTTATTATATATAATTATAGTGTTTGATGCTAGTATGTGCAATCTTGTGTTATTCACTAATTGTGTGTATATACTTTTAGATAAAGTTTATATTTTAAATTTGCTTTTTAAATTATCTGCAGTGGCTAGCACAAAGTTGGACATGTAATTGCTTATAAAACATTTACTAGTTCCTTGATTCAGAAATATACAGTATAAATATTATATATTTCTTTGTGTGATCCTAAGAGTTAGGTCATGATTTCAATACAGAAATTATAGAAAATTGAAAAGTAACTTAAAATTATATCATTATGGTAGTAGCCAGGCATGGTGGCACATGCCTGTAATCCCAGGACTTGGAAGGTGGAGGCAGGAGGATCTCTATGAGTTTGAGGATGACCTGGGCTACATATTGAGTTCAAGGCCAACCTGAACTACATAGGGAGACCCTGTCTCAAAAAACAATAACAACCTTCCCCCCAGAATTCTGTCATTGTGTAAAGGCTGATGATCCAATCTTCTTGCCTTATTTAGTGATGGTTTATATATTATTTTAAACAGAATAAAGATAGGTTTAATATTTTTAATCTAATGAAGAAGAGGTTAAAAAGTGTCGAACACAAACCTAGTGTAGAAAAGTAAAACTTCAAGAGTTGTTATTTTTTGGGATGTAGTGAATATATTTAAAAGGTAGCTATTACCCTTATGAGAATGTCTGCATAAGGTAAAATATTTTTGCTCATATTTTAATTGTTTTTGGGTTAAATAATATATGAAAATACTGATATAATAACAAACAAGAAAAATGCAGGAGTATGAGGAATATGAAGTAAAAATGTAGGGCCAGGGATTTAGCTTAGTGGTCCCATGCCTGCCTTGCAAATGCAAGGTCTGGAGTTTGATTCCTGGTACTGGAAAAGAAAAAATAAATATCTTTCTCTTTACATTTGTTTTTACTTTCCAATGTTCAGTAATTTTGGACTGCATCATGGACATTGTTAACAATGTGTTATAGATACTTGGATTCTGTTGTATTTATCCAAAGAGTATTGATTATAATTTCTATTTATTTGTTTTTGTAGGCAGATAACTAGGCTGGACTAAAATTTTAAATTCTGGCTCCCTTATGGTGGGGGCAGCTGGAACCTATTGTTATTTTATCCTTGACAGAATTGCTTGGAGTCTGTGCCACACATGCATAATTTAAGAATCAGTCAGAGATTTGGGTAGAGTTTCAACACAAAATTTGGGGCTCCTTCAAATTCTGCTAGCCTACTGCTTTGAAGGATTTCCTTTTTCAGTTTCTAGCTGCTATAAAGTGACCCCCAAGCTCTACACTCAGAATCTTCAAATCAGTAATACTGTGAGTCTGTAATCTTAGATTTTGCTGTTCCATTTGATACCAACAGATGTTAGTCCAAAGCCATAAAAGCTGTGAAATTCACTTAGTGTCATCATATTTTAGAAACCAGTACAGTTTTGTGCCTGCTTTACATCAGTGCTTTTGTTTTGTATGAGGGATCAAACTCAGGACCTTGTGCTTGCGAGGCAGGTGGCAGTACAACTGAGCTAAATCCCTGGCCCTACAACACTGCTTTTATTTTGCACAGTTGTTTGGGAGAATTGATTAGATGGGAGACACTTGGTCATTACCAGAAGTAGAACTTACATGGAGCTATATTAATTGGAAAACTGGACTTTTTAAGAAACTGAAGATCCAAGGCTTAATTTTTATATTGCTGAGTTCTGCTTTGCTTTTTGTTCTAGGGTGTGACTTTGACGGCTGCCATTGGGGGTGCTGACATGCCCGTGGTCATCACTGTGCTGAACAGCTACTCAGGCTGGGCCCTGTGTGCAGAGGGCTTCCTGCTCAACAACAACCTGCTGACCATTGTGGGCGCTCTGATTGGCTCCTCTGGTGCTATCCTGTCATACATCATGTGTGTGGTAAGAAACATGGCTGTCAAATGAAAGGAAATAGTCTACTGGAAGTATGGAAGAAAAAATGTTTTAATATATTTTTTAATCTTATTGAGTTTATTGGTACTTTTTAGGTATACAGTACAGTTACCTTCATCATTGGGATCTTGTATCCTTACATGACAGATCTTGGTTCTCATTTTTTCCCCATACCCCTGCTCTCCCTTCACCCCCTCCACCCTCCCCTATTTACAAAGACTTTGTTTCAATTTTTTCCTTTTCTCATATTTTTTCTTTTTCCTTATTTCCCTACCCTTACCCTTCTCACTTCCTCTATACCTTTAGCCCTTTTCTTCCTATTTCACATTATCAGTTATACAATTTGTATATAGTTATACAATTTATACTTTTAGTTTTCACACCAGAGAAACTATACCGTAATTACACGTGTATCTTATTTATTTCACTTAAGAGTATGGCCTCAATATGCATCCATTTTCCTATGAATGACTCTAGTTTCTCATTCTTTATGGTTGAGTAGTATTCCATTTTATAGAAAAACCACATCCTCTTATCCAGTCTCCAACTGATGAGCAATTGGGCTGCTTCCAAGTTTTAGCTATTACAAACTGTGCTGCTATAAACATGGGTGTGCATATATCACTGTGGTATGATTCTTTTAATACTTTTGGAAAGATACCCAGCAGAGGGATAGCTAGTTTTAATCTTTTAAATCTGATAAAGCAGAAGAGGTTCAAAAGTCTCAAAATCAAATGTATAGTATGGAAAAATAAAACTTCTAGAATTGTTATTTTTCAAGATGCAGAAGATGTCATTTATTTGTAGTAAAAATTAATCTGTCAGTTTTAATTCTTTTCATCAGGAATATCAACTAGTTTTATTTGAATAAATTCTAAGAATCTTTTAAAGCCATTCAACTGTGGAGAATTAGTAAAATTAAATATAAAGATAAAAATCTAATAACTGTCAATTTGGAGATGAATACATAAGATTTTAGTTATTTTAAATTGTATATTACATATTTACATATTTGCTTTTATCTTTATCTCATTCAATTAAAATATTCCTATATGCTTGACTTTTTAATCATTAAAATGCTTTTAAGTATTTTTAAAAACTTTATATTAATCTATCATATTGATATACAAAATTTCTTTTTTTTTCTCTAATGGTGTATATTTTAGGTTGTTCAATTTCTGTTTCTCTTTGTATGTAAGTGCATCTTTGACATTACTAACTTTTGTCTTAGGATAGATTCCTAGAAGTGAAAAAGTATGCTTATTTTTATATGTTTTGTATATTTATTACCATGTTTCCAGAAAGCTTGTTCTAATTTACGCTCCTACTGGTCATCTGTGAGAGTGCCTATTTTGAAGTTTTATAGTCAGTATGATTAAAAAAAATTAGAGTAGAAAAATGTAACAACACAAATACTTCCTAGCATTCTTTTTTGTTTCTAATTCTTTTCTTTTTTTTTTTTTTTGTTTCTGGGGATTGAACTTGGGACTTTGTGCTTATGAGGCTGGTGGTGGAACCACTGAACTAAATCCCCAGTCCTTCTTCTTATTTTCTTCCTGGAAAGAAAATGTCCTGTGTATAATTAAAGATTTGACTAGAAAACTTTTTCGAATTATAGCTACAGTTTCTTACATAATAGTTTGGAGTGATTTAAAGTACAAACATGAAATTAGAATGGACTTTATGGGGATAAATAATTTAGATGTACTCACCATGTTCTAAACTAACATAAAAATTAATTAAAGATCTAAATGTTAAAATAGAAACAACCTGCTGAAAATAATTAAAACTCTGGAAGTCATAGGCATAGGCAAAGCTTTTCTGAATAGAACCGCAAATCCACAAGAAATGACATCAACAGCTGGGATCATATCAAATTAAAAAGCTTCTGCATAGCAAAAGAAACAACCATCAGAGTGAAGGGACAACCTACAAAAATAGGTAAAAAATTTTGTCGGCTGCACCTCAAACAGAGGATTACTATCTAGAATATATCAAGAACTAAAAAAAAAAAAAAAGTAGATCCTCCAAAATGAAAAAACCCAATCAAAAAATGGGGAAATGAAATTCATAGATACTTCTTAAAAGAAGCACAGATAGCTAATAAATGCTTGATAAAACACTCAACATCTCTGGCCATTAGAGAAATGTGAATTAAAACAACACTGAGATTTCATCTTACTTTGGAAAGAATAACCATCATCAAATAATAACACGTTGGCCAGGATATGGGGGAAAAGGGAACTGTTCCACATTGTTGGAGGGAATATAAACTAGTACAGTCATTATGGAGGGCAGTGTGGAGAGTCTTCAAAAAACTAAAGCTAGAAATTCATTTCCCTATTAAGTATCTTCCCAAAATAGTTAAAGACATTGTATTATAGCAATACAAGCATACCCATTTTTATAGGACCATAATTCATAATAGCTAGATCTTAGAAGCAGTCTATATGTTCGTCAACAAATGAATGAAGAAAATGTATTTACAGACAATGGAGTACAACTCTGCCAAAAGAAGAATAAATTGAGTCATGTATAGGAAAATGGATGCATCCCAAGACCATAATGAGATAAATCAGATATACAAGTTTAAATATCACATGATTCTCTCTCTCTCTCTCTTTTTTTTTTTTTGGTACCAGGGATTGAACTCGGGTCCTTGCGCTTGCAAGGCAGGCCACCGAACCACTGAGCTAAATCCCTGGCCCTTTTTTTTTTTTTTGACATGTTTCTCTTATATGAGAAATTCAATATTAAATAAAGAGCAAAATAAAAGAGGCAATAGGGAAATAGATCAAATTGGAGGGAGACTAAGAAATGAAGGGAGGGGAGGGGAAAAGAACGAAAAAAGAATTTAGATACGTACATGTACCAAAACCCCCTTAAGAATGCAATCATTATGTATTGCAAACATAAAAATTGAAAAAAAATTAGATATTAAAGAGATACTGTACATTCAGTGTTGTATTACAATGAAAAAGCTGTTACTTTAAAACTCAGAGTTTTCCTTATATTATAATTGAAAAGTCTCACATTTTAAATGCTATCTTTTTATAATAAAGGATGTTTTTGGGGCTAGGGATATGCATGGGGTTTTGATAAAGTACAGTGAATGTTTAAATTAAAATTTTTTATTAGCATTGAAGACACACTGCCACTAATCTACCTCAGAACACTCCCCGTCATTTCAGACACATTTATCCCATGGTTCTTGCCACTCTGAAGCAGTTCTGAAAGTATTTTGTGAGTGCCATTATGAAATGCGATCAAAATACAGTGAATGTTGCTGACATGTGTCACCCAGTGGAAAGGCAGAATGGTGAAAACTGTACAGTGTTTCTTCATCCACCTTCTTCCATAGGTCTGGCACCCTGAAACTGCTGGCTCTTCCCCAAAGTCAAAATGACCATGAAAGGTAAACATATTGAATTGGTTCAGCATATCAAGGCAGCTATGGTGGATAAGTAAAGTAGACATTTGTGTTAAAGGGCTTGCACAACTGCTTCAGAAAGTGACAAGAATGTTTGAAGTGATGGAGTATTTTGAAGGGTGTTAATAGCAATGAGTCCTTTACTATAATACTTCTTTAAATCATTTTTTTCATTGAGTTTATTGGTACTTTTTAAGTATACAGTACAGTTACATTCATCATTCGGATCTTGTACCTTTACATGACAGATCTTGGTTCTCATTTGTTCCCCATACCCTTGCCCTCCCTTCCTTCCCTCCTCCCTTCCCTATTTACAAATACTTTGTTTCCATTTTTTGCTTTATTCATACTTTTTCTTTTCCCTAATTTCCTTTCCCCTACCCTTCCCACTTCCCTTACACCTTTAGAATCATACCAGTGACATAGGCGCACCCCATGTTTATAGTGGCACAGTTTGTAGTAACTAAAACTTGGAAACAGCCCCATTGCTCATCAGTTGGAGACTGGATAAAGAAGATGTGGTTTGTCTATAAAATAAAGTACTACTCAGCCATAAAGAATGAGAAACTAGAGCCGCCCCCTTCCCTGCCAGTGCTGCCATTGCTCCAGCACAAGAAAGGTAGCTGCGCAGGTGCCCCTTCTCCTGCCCCTGCTCCCACTGCTCTCAGACCTCCTGATTGTGCCATTCTTTGGACCCACTCTGCAGAGGCAGAGGTGGTCTTAAAGGGTATTTTTCTGAGCTTCCAACTTTGAACATCTTAAAGAAAGGGTGGGGAAGCCTGTAATAGAACTGTGTGGAGTTCAACCCTTCAGGATGTTGGGGAACTCAATCTGAGCCTTGCAGCCTGTGGTCAGTCTGCATCATGGGCATCTGTCATCGGCTAGCTCAGATCAGGGGACTTGGTTCTGCACATGACTGCGTATGTTGTATATTATGACAGCACATATATAGTCTGAAAGAGAGCCTTCAAATTCATTTTTTTCTTTCTTTTCCTCATTCTACTCTGCAAATTCTTTATTTATTCTGTCCTCTTTTCCAACTCAGGCTCTTGCTCCACCATATTATCCCTCATCTCCTTTTCTGTTTCTGCTTCTGCCCTAACTGAGATTTCTTTGTTATCATTTTTTCTTTTTTCTTTATGTTCTTTTCTTCTGTCATTATACCTCACTCAAGGGTTAATAGTTTCAAGAGAAAGTGAGCCCGTATTACTGTTAAAGGGGTATATTCTTGTCCTTATACTTGTACTCTATCTATCCCTTTTGAATTTAACAGTTTCCTAAAGATTGTGTGGTCATTCTATGTCCTCTGGCTTCACTTTAAACCTTCTCCAATTCTTTTACGTATCTACTCCTCTCAGGATATCTCTGGCTAAGCCCCCATCCTAAATGGTAAAGATGCTATATTTAAAAGTTTATTCATTGCAAACATATTTTGGACTGCTTCTTGATTTTAATTTAATTCACATGGTTTAAAGGAGATAGGCTAATGACTATCACAAGTGGTCAATTTGCAAGTTATGCTTGATCATATTATGTTGCTGATTGAATCAATTGGGAT